CCAAAACACATGAGCACTTAAAAAAGGGCAACGCTTGTTCAACTTACAATGTGTTGCGCTTTCACTCAAGGGTAGGGAGGGCGGGTCGTCCCAAAAATTCTGACAAAAGACTTGTCAGATGGGGACGTAGTTAGATCTAGGTAGCAATGGTTGTCCATTCTGCGTTGTCTCCTGAGAAACGTAGCGGTGGAAACACAGAGAATTCAGCTGGAGCTCTTTGGAAGGGTACGAGGTTGTCGCTGATTCTAGGCTGCTCACAAGACAGGAACGAACAGATGTTGGACAGTCACGTGACACTGGTTTTGCAGATGTTTCTCAGAGTTTGGATTTTCTTTCAGACATGCACGGAAACACAAACAACCTTTTTGGAGATGAACGTGTTGAAGACTTTTGGAATGCTTCCGAGTACGAAGAGAGCGTTTCTTTTGGACCATCCTTGGCTAGGTCTTCTGAATTTGGTGAGGAATTTCATGGTTCTTTTTCTGAAACGGCAGAAACAAAACCAGAACGTGGAATTTTTGGTACTGCAACAGCTGTCGAAGTTGCTTCGCGTCCGATCCCTGTGGGGACCCTGGAACCTATTTGGGAGCAAAGGATTTGGGGCGTCATGTCTGGCAACAAGCAACTTATTGATGTTTACAAGCCTTTTGGAATCTCATTGAAGAGACCAGTCGATACATCAGTTGTGCAAGGTAGCAGTAGCACCTCAGAACCTTCATCGACAAGGGCAAAGACTGGGGTACCTTCTGATCTTTCATATCACGGTGTTGTTCAGGACAGATTGGACAGTCCATGGCAGGAACAGCGTGATGCTGACCTTCAGAGTTCTGTCAAGTTCTGGCTTGCGCTTGTAAACAGATGTGATATAGCTTGCAGTGTAGGTGGAAGCATGTTGCAGCTGGCAGTAACCAGCGGGGTGTTTGGAATGTTTGCACATTTAATTGCTGGAGGGTCACCTGTCACCACACAGAAGGGAAGCTACAGCATCATGCGTCTGTGCTACCACCTTGACAACAAGGGTGGCATTTATCCGTGCAGTAAAGATGATTTTCATGATTTTCTTTGCCGTGAACAAACTGCGAATGCCCCACAGTCGAGACTCAAAGGATACATGCAACCCATAAACTTGTGTTTCACACGAAGTCAGTCCATGAAGTGGAACCACTGACCAGGAGTGCAATGTGCAAAGGAGCCTGCTCAGGTGAGTTTACAAAAGAGAGGATCCAGGCATCTCCTCTCAAGGTCGGTGAACCTAGGCACATCCGTGAGCTGCTCTACATGTGTGAGGACCTGTGGGTATGTTTGTTTTGCGGTGCATTGCTCATGGAAGCATACTGTACAGCACGGTGGGGAGACCTCATGCGTGCGGAGAGTGCGATTGCTGGCTGTGATCGCCACGGGAAGTTGCAGTTCCTTGAGGCGAGGACTGGACGTCACAAGACAATGAAGTCACAGATGCATCGTCACCAGTTTTTGCCAGTGTTGGCACCATGTCATGGAATAGATGGCAGGGATTGGGGTTCAGCCTGGATCAAAGGTCGAGATACCATGAAACTGGAATGGCCACCCATGGGACTCATCATGCCTGCACCTGGACTTCAGGGACAGGCCACCAGTAGGCCATTGGAGACGCAGGAGTGTGCACCATAGCTGAGGGAATTGGTTGGAGGCTAAGATGATCCAGCTGGAAGGCGCGTTGCTAGCCATTCACTGAAATCAACATTCCTTTCATATGCTGCCAAGCGTGGCATTGGCATCTCAGAGCGTTTGCAGCTCGGTTAACTTATCAGCAAGTTCGAGATGTGCATGGTTTACAGTCGTGGTGGTGCAGCTGCTAGCTCGTTGGTACTCAAGAATTTAATCAGGTACATCTCTTCAGGTCTTTTTGATCCAAATGACACTAGGAGTAGTAGGATCAAACCACTGGATCAGCCACCAAAGCCTGCAGGAGATGAGGCCGTGATAGACATCAAGGACGAGCCGGAGGTTCGTGAGGTGTCCAGTGCTGAGAGAGGTTCAGAATCGGATTCAACTTCCAGTGAAGAAGAAAGGCCACAGTGTGTCAAACATTCACCTGTTTTTCAGCCTACTGCTGCACCACCTGGTTTTGCGATGTGACAGCATCGGAAACTCAAGACGCTGCACCTGGTGGCAGTAGAGAACAGTAGGGTCTTTGCATATGACAGGAGCGCCGGGGCCTTACACGAGAAACGAGGGAAAGCCCCTGAATTTGACGCTCCACTTTTCCTTGTGCTTCAACGGGGCCAGTGACTGAACATGTTTTCACTTGTTTCATGTCCCACGAAACCAAGTGTGCTTCAAGAGTTTCTCGATTCAGTTTAAAGCTTGTCGAGAGTGTGCACCGTGGGAGTATTCACTCACCGTGACAGAGCGGCTCCTTCCTCAGGAGTAATGTTTGTGCGCAGGTGTTTTTAACTCAAAACATTTTCCAACATGTCAGTTCACACTCAATTTTTAATGGAGTTTGGGCGGAGGCGCGTGTGGCTGATGTCTCATTCAATGCTTTGACGTGACCAGTGAGGAAAAAACGGCATGCTGACTGGACGTTTTTTTTTGGAACTTGTGAAACCAAAGCATGAGAGTCAGTGCACGCTCAGTAAATCACTTTTTCGAACTGTCACGTGTTTCAATTTGTGGGTGCTCGATCTACTTCAAGGGACCCGCAACCATCACAGTCCTGCAAGCGCTGCGAATTTCGTTGGAGTTGTGCTCAGCGAAAGAGAGAGCGCATAGGCATGACCAAGACAGCGACATGATTTCTTTCTCGATGTGCAAGTTTTTCAGAAATTCGATGTGTCAGTTTTTCACGGCCAAAGACCTCATCAGTCAACGTGACGTCAGTTTCAGGCAGGTGTCTTTCAATAGGTCTAGACCTTGAGCGTCTGTCCAGCCATGAGTCTCATTGAGTCCGCGGCAGCCTTCAGACAGAGATGTGACGAGATCACGACAGATGGGTCTCTGCGAGTTGCGTTAGATGGCCAAGCCATACGGACCCACAGTGCAATGGCCTTTACTATGGGCACACCACAAATGACACCGACCGAAGATCAGTTTGGGGCCTTGGCCCAAAGGGTATTTGGGGTTGCGCCCAGTGTAGGGCAGATGAGCGCAATCAGGCGCGTTCACTTTGAAAGCACTACACTGGTGATTTCAACAATACGTGAGAAAGTCACCAGTGAAGGAGCTGAGAAAGGTGATACGACAAAGAAGATACCCCTTGCAGAGAAGAAACAGAGAAGAGAGGATCAGCTTGCCCGGCTGAATGGTATCTCCATGGTTGGGGAGTTAGACCCAAGCCACGCCCTGCTCGACTTGGCAAACCAGATGCTGGAGAGCGGGGCAATCATATGGATTGCGCCTTCCAAATGCAGCAAGCGTGACGACGAGGTGCAGATGTCCCTGAAGGATTCAAAAACCTCAGTCCAGATAGAAAATTCTCAACTCAGAGTTGGACCGAGTGTTGAGGTCATTGAGGCTGAGTGGAACTCCGAGCTCAAGTACCAATGGTGCATGATGCGGAGGGGATTGGCCTTTGACCAATGCCGCGTTCTTAGCTGGAGCGTGCATCAGCATTGGACCAATTACATGCTGAACCTGATGAGCAGGCCTGTCAATCCAGGGTTCCAACAGATCAAGCTCGATCAGCTGGTCCGAGCCGATAGAGAGCTGTGGACACTACTTGCACAAGAAGTTTCTGGAAGCTTGAAGACGAACGGTAACGAGATTCCGCTGGACAAGCACGTCACCAGACTTGCGACAGACCCGCGGGTAACCATGCTGCTATTGCCGCTGCCGACAAACCAAAGAGTGACCGAAGCGCCTGACAAACCCAGGCCGAATGCGAAGGCTGGTCCTGTGAGGCCTGCTGCAAAGGTCTCTACCAAGCGCAAAACCCGCGCAGAGAGGAGTTGTCCTGAAGAGCTGAAACAATACAACACTAAGGTCGCAGCAGGTCAGATATGCTGGAATTACAACATGAAAGACGGTTGCCAACTGTCTACAAGTGGCAAGCCGGCAAAGTGCTCCCGTGGCCTGCACTTGTGCGCCTGCTGTCACAAGGCAGGGCACTCTTTGGTTGTTTGCCGAGAAGCAAAGAAGGGTTGACAAATCAGCCCCACTAGACCGCCTCTCATGATCCATTAGAGGGGGAGGAAAGTTCAGGTGGGAGAGCAGAAGCAGTGCACTCCCAATGCAGAGCGTTGGCAAAGCCACCATGCACCTGATGTTTCCACCATCTCCAAAAAGGAGAACCTTATGTCGGCAGGGGAGACGCCTTAAGGCGACAACCAACCAACTCTCACTGGAAAAACCGAGGAGGTGCGAAGCAGCAACACTCGGGGGGCAATCCAAGCGCAACAGAATTTCTTTATCTCATTTTCTCATGATGCGAAGGTTTCTGTTCAACTTGGAGAGCATCCATTTCTGGACCACATGTTCTTGTGAGTGTGTTTTGATTCTGCTATCTCCGAATTTTTCCATTTCAAGTTCTTAGGGGTAAACCTGAAGTGATTTCGTTCTGTGCATGCTGTCGCGAACTTTCGTGCAAGCTGGATTTCGGAACTTCACTGTGGTGCTGAGAGCACGCGTTCATACAATAACTGCTTGGACGTTTTGGCGGGGTTTTGGTGCTTCCATTATTCGTACCTGTCTGCACTCATTTCTGGACTCATCATCCTGGGTTTGCTGGTGTCGATCTTGCGTTAGCTGCTTTTTGAGTAGCATTTCAGTGCGAGAAGTGTCAACACCCAGAGTAGCCATTCCCTTTGGTCCACATTCTGATCCAGGTGCATCGTCCTCATCCAGCGCCAGCTCAAGTGACGTTAGTCTGGCACTTTGAGCTACATGCGGCGGCGACAATCTATAGCGGAACGTGGACACATAGCGGTTCAGCCGGGGACTCATTTTCTGACTTCATTTTCTTATTGCAGACATTTGCTTGTCTTTTCCACCGGATTTCTCACTGGTGTTTGCTGGATTTTATGGATACTGCTGACTTGAGTGAGTCGGCCACCTCTTTGCGGGTGAACGATATCGGGCTTGACTCCCAGGCGCTCCTATGTGACAAGAAACGCCAGCACAAACCCATGACAAATGGGTATGTGCGTCTTGCGACGGCCGAGGAAGCGGCACACCCCACGCTGCTCTGTGAAAGAAAAATCCAATGTCCACGTGACGAGGCATTGCATTTGGGTGTGACGGCACTGGACACGCTCCTCGAGCAGGCTGAAGGGCCTGACCCTTCACCCATTTCAAGACTGGCACTGGGAGCATTGCCCAGAAGACACAAAGTCAAACCTTGGGTTGCAAAGTTTGGCACATACTGGCAAGTTTTTGCTGACCCACAGAAGCCCAACGACCCGGATAAGCTTCTGACAACACTTCCTAAGGGTACCAAACCAGTCTCACGCCACGTTGTTAAAGGGGGTGATCTCCAGGCTGCTCGACAGGCTGCTCGACAAGATGCTACGGTCGTTTTTCTCAACGTCGACGACAATTCCACATTGGGATGTCACCCGAGAAGCTTGGAACAGCCAAGTGGAGGAGCTCATGGGCAAGATGCCCAACATGTTTTGGAACTGGTGGTCATCAAGCGTTTGGTTTTTGTGCATTGCTGACGATGGCGAACATGAGACCCCGCAAAAATTCGCTGGAAGGAAGCACCCTCGCATGGCTGTCCGGTCACCGATGGACGGTGCTGTCAGTATGATGGGCTTCAACGCCTCGCCTTTTGGGGCGGTTGGGAGTATGGCTGGTTTCCTAAGGGTAAGCCTTGCTGTTTGGCTCATAGGCTTGGTAGTTCTTCGAGCTGCTCTTCAACTTTGCTGGACGGTTTTGCCTGACGACCACATTGTGCTGGGCCGAGAAGAACTGCCAAACATTCCATCCTACATCCCTCCCCGGAGTTTTGTAACTTTACTGGATCTCTTGGGCCTGACATTTGCGAAGGGAGGAAAGAGACACGTGCCTTTCAACCACAAGTTTAAATTGTTGGGCCTGGAGGTTAACCTGGAAGGTCGCAAAGGCAACCCAGTGACCATTGGATGCATTAAAGCACGAAGGTCAGAGCTGGCAGCCAAAATCAACGACATCTTGGCAGAAGCTTGGTTGGATGCAAAGAAAGCGGAAAGGCAGGAAACACCTGGGTGCGTCAATTCAGGGCAGCCTTCCCCTTCTCGGAGACAGAGTTTTGGAAGCCACTCCGGTTGCAATAGGCCGACACCTTGGAAGACACCTGGACATCCTTGTAGGTGGAGCTCACAATCCCAATTGCTAAACTGGAAGTGTGGGGAGCTTGACAATGTCCCCTCAAGGTCGTTGCCTGTCTTTTTCAGTGGTGTCGCACCGGAGGACTCAACTGCTGAGCTTTCCAAATCTTCCTTCAATACAATTCGCGAATTGGGATTGATGCCTGTTTCCATAGCTCATTTGGAATGGGGAACGCTCACAGTGTGCTACATCAACCACGAATCGGCAAGGATGGTCTTAGTGAAAAGGGAGTGGAGGTACGTGGTTTTGCCTCCCACCGCATCAGTGACTTCGTCAGCCTAGAGGCTCAGCCGCAGCACAAGACCTGGTTTGTGAGATGCCCAAGCCACAGCGATCCACGGATGGAGCAAGCAGGTTAGACCTGACCTGGGCCGAAGGCAAAGGTGGTCGCCGAACCAATCTCGATTGGGAGAGGCTGAGACATCGCCTTGGTCTAGGTGGGGAGATGCCGGAGATGCGATGACTATGCCCCATCTGCTGGATGAAAAAAGGCTGTGCATCTTCCATTCGTCAATTGTCAGTTGTGCAATCTGTTTATTTCTGAAACTTCAAGTTTCGAATTCCCCTTTTTTTCGGCAATGAGACTATTTGATTTTCGCCGATTGTCATTACACCACATGTGGCGCGGAGTTGGATTCACACGCGTACATGTACACGTGCGTTTACAATTTTCTATTTTTCAACACATACGACGCCATTCTCGTATGCGCACTTGCGATACGTTTGGGTCATAGCTCTTGTGCTGTGTGTTTTGCATATTGTGGAGTTGGAAATAAGTTGAGAGTTTCTTGAAAAGAAACTCGATTTTATTTCCGCACGCAACTTTCCTTTCTGTTTGTTTGCGTTTGTTTTTTGGTCAAACCAAAGAAACAACAACCAAACAAGAAACCAAAACACATGAGCACTTAAAAAAGGGCAACACTTGTTCAACTTACAATGTGTTGCGCTTTCACTCAAGGGTAGGGAGGGCGGGTCGTCCCAAAAATTCTGACAAAAGACTTGTCCCACCCAACACCTGGTGTCTCCCACCCTGTCTTTTGTTGCCTATCCCCGAGCCTAAGATGCCGGAGATGCGATGACTATGCCCCATCTGCTGGATGAAAAAAGGCTGTGCATCTTCCATTCGTCAATTGTCAGTTGTGCAATCTGTTTATTTCTGAAACTTCAAGTTTCGAATTCCCCTTTTTTTCGGCAATGAGACTATTTGATTTTCGCCGATTGTCATTACACCACATGTGGCGCGGAGTTGGATTCACACGCGTACATGTACACGTGCGTTTACAATTTTCTATTTTTCAACACATACGACGCCATTCTCGTATGCGCACTTGCGATACGTTTGGGTCATAGCTCTTGTGCTGTGTGTTTTGCATATTGTGGAGTTGGAAATAAAATCCGAAGATGTTGAGATGGAAGTTGAACAGCCACAGACGATCCCGATGATCGATGTGTGTCTTTGCTCTGAGAGAGTCAGGATTGGATGTTTGACTTCTCCCGATCTGCTCTCCGAGGAGCGGTTCTCTGTTGAGTCTATCAGTTTTTCAGGTGGAGCTCATGACTCTGAAGTTGTTGAGCTATGTGGATCCAAGGTTCGATTGTGGAAGCCAACAGGAGCTGTTTCGGATACCACTCTTGAAGAACTGGACCCCCAAGGAACTTTCCTTGCGATGGTCAAAGAGCTCAAGGGATTGACTCATGTGAAGGCAGGTCGTATCATGAAGGAGAAGGAAGCCTTGCAGTTTTGCAAGAAGCACAACATCAAAGTTATCTCCTGCAGGTGGGTTACGAACAGTAAGCCTGAAGCCGACGAAGGAGTTCGTGCTCGGATAGTCGTGAAAGATTTCGCTAAAGGTCAGAAGACCGCCAGGCAGGAAGGTATTTCTTCCCCCACACCCTCGATTGAGTCGCTACGACTTCTGTTGGGAGCGGCAACGGGTATGTGGACTGGTGGAAAAGGTTTCAACCTTTATGCGATTGACGTCAGTCAGGCGTTCATGAATTCACCGCTCACTGTGAAGGTTTGTGTCCGGCTTCCATCATCAATCAGCACACTTGACAATGAACCGGTTTTCCTTGAGGCTTACAAGGGTTTGAATGGACTTCGTATCGCAAGTTTGACTTGGGTTCTGTTCTTTGATGGGATTGTCAAAAGCGTTGGCATCCGATCTGGACTTGTGGAGCCATGCTTGTACGGTGGGATGGTACGGGGTGCCCCCATCCTTGTCATCTGTTATGTTGATGACCTGTTGGTTGCCACGCCCAGCGAGGCTGCGTATCGTGTTCTGTTTGAAGCTCTTGAGAAGCAGGTCAAGATCCGAGAGACTGGCCGAGTGACCATGTCTGGTGGTTCATTGAAGTTTCTAGGCCGCACCATCCTCAGAGAGAAGGGAAGCTCAGGTTTGCAGTTGTTTGTCGACCAGGATTACCTGAACAGTGCGTTCGAGGAGTATGGAATCTCCAAAGGTTCCACTGCATTTCCTGATCTTCGTCCATTTTTGGAGCAGACACTGCAAGAAGAGCCTATCAGCGCTGAGGCGCACTCCAAGTTCAGGAGAGTTCTTGGACGTCTGTCATGGCTGGCACAGACCCGACAGGATATCTTGATCCTGATTGCAATGCTGTCGACTGGACAATCTTGTCCAAAGCCAGGCCATGAGAAGGCTCTGCGAGCCGTGCTTCGATTTATGTTGTTGCACATGAAGATGTCCCAGAAATTTCCCTCACCTGGACTTGAGGACCTTTCTGAGAAGGACATCGGTCTGGAAGTTTATAGTGATGCTGGATTTGCCCCTATGCAAGCTACTCAGAGGAGAAGCATCACTGGATGTGTTATTGTTTTTCGATGTGTTGTTTTGAAGTGTTTCTCTCGACATCAGGCATCTGTGACGTTGAGTTCATGCGAGGCAGAGCTCGTTGCCGTTCAGGTAGCTGTCCAAGAAGCCATTGGTTTGCTGAGAAGTTTGAGTTTTGTCCTGCGTCGCATTCAGGTATATCCACCGTCTTTATCAGAGGACGACAGTTTGGATTTTGTCTGTCCGATCCTCTTGTGGACCGACTCCCTGAGTGGGAAGATGCTTTTGGAAGGTTCCGACCTCCAGCGTAGGTCAAGACATATCGACATCAAAGTGAACTGGTTGAGAGAACTTTTGGGAAAAGAAATCCTGCAAATTGGACATGTCAGAGGAACTGGAAACGTCGCTGACCATTTTACCAAATGTTTGCCGACGATCAAAGCGTTGCAGTACATGGAAATACTTGGTTTTTCGTCGTTTGAAGGTATTCTTTTGGACTGTTTGCTTGATTTTGAAATCCGCGACAACAGTTTTTCAGGTCTTTTGTGTGCGTTTTCAACCAGAAACTGCATGTTTTGTGGAGAGTTGATTTGTGAAGAACCTGCAAATTCAACAACTTGTGAATTGTCGCCATTTCCACGTTCATGCACTCAGATGATCAATGCACTTGTAGCAAGGCGAGGGAATCGGTTCCGCTATGGCTGGACGTATCCCTGCAGAACGAGAAGAGCCCAGAGCGCCGGACAGCCATGCGCTCCTTGGGCATCCAACAGCTGAAGGTGTCGGTGTGGCACCTGAATCTGATGATACGGTTACCATCATAGGTGGTGAAGCCAATGCTGCGACTGTTGCGGTGACATCTGCAGAGGCAGTGGTGCCAGCTGCTGAGGCAGTGCCGAAGGCAGCAGAGGCTGCAGCTCCCCCTGCCGCTACTGAATCGGCACCAGGTGCACCAGTTGCATCAGAGACTGCAGCTGCCGAGGCTGAGGATGTTGTGGAGGTTACTCCAAAGAAAGCTCAGCCGCCGAGGCCCAAGGAGAAAGCCATGCCTACTACTCGAGGCAGACCTGAAGCGAAAGCAAGGCCGTCAGGAAGGTCTCAAGCTCCTGGACGTGAACCTGCTGTGAAGAAGATGCCCAGGAAGCCTGGTCGCTTTGTGATTCAGGTGAAGAAAGAGGCCTGGGAGGCCACTGGTCTGCTGAAGAGACGACGCGAGGCTGGTCGTCGTAAGGCCAAGCGTCAGGCTTGGAAGAATAGGCAGAAAGAAGCGTTTGCCTACTTCGCTGCTCAGAGGAGAGAAGAGGAGTCCCGGCCAACGCCTACATATGAGGTTGTGAGAGGGTCGAGATTGCCAGGTCAGAGAAGGGTCATGCGAAGGATGTACAACCCTCAGTTAAACAAGAGAGAGGAGTTGGAGATCAACCCGAAAGCTGAGGAGGAAAAAGGACCCGCCTTTGTGAGGTCTTTCAGTGGATTCAGCTGGAAGAATCCGAAGGGTCTGAAGTGTGGTCATTGTGGAGAAAAAGGCCATATCATCTCTCAGTGTCCTGAGATGGAGCGAAGGGTGAGCCTTACTCATGGGCGTGTGACTTTGACGCCAAGAGGACAGCACCAGCCAGACTCCACTGTGGGCGATGAGGTTGCCCCGGGTGATTCGATTTCACAGGTTGGATTGACCCAGGAGTCACTACGTATCCACAACAAGAGGCTGAGAGGCCACGGTTGGTCCGAGGAGGCCCCAGCAGCCGCAGGTAGCCCTCTAAGAGCTCGTCAGAGGACTGGGATGGGTCCCCCTCAGACGCCACCGAAGAGGAGCGGCCAGTTTCCGGCCAGCAGCAATGCGGCAGTGGCGATGGGTCCAAAGCCGCCTCCACACCCGCCGAAGGGGGGGGTTCCGCAAGGGCCACAGCCACCACAGGCACCACCCATCTCTGGGAAGGCCCCTCCAGCAATGCCTTCTCCAGCCCAGGGCCCTCTACCACCACCGCCAGCGCCCCCGGCGCCACCTCAGGTACCACCACCGCCGCCAGCTCCAAGAAGAGTTTCAAGTGCGCCAAAGACGCCACCCAAGACGCCTCCAAAGGCGAAATCTGGAGAGCCTACATCGCCTAAGGCGAGTCCAGGTGCAAAGGCAGCACCAACTGTGGATTTGGTTACTCCAAAGAGCCCTGAAGCGAAAGCAGCGTCGCTTGGAGGTGAGTTGCCCCATAGGCCATTCAGAGTTGGCCCAGGAGGAGCACTGGAAGCTGAGACAATTGGCCCTTCATCGGGGTACAGTATGTCTATGATTTCAAGGACCCCAGTTGCAAAGGCACCGGCCAGTGAGGCCCAGCCAGAGCCTTCTGAGACATCAGGGAGACCGCCCCAGCGTCGTATGGAAGCCTGCATAGCATGTCATGGCAGTGGAGAGCTTCCGATGCGAGCGAATCGGAGGTTGTTCAGGTTGTTGACATCGTCAACAGCGTCAGCAGCAACTGCAAATGCAGCTGCTCGAGGTGGAGCAACGGCCAGTGGTTTGTCTGCAATTTCAGGTTCAAGTTCTTCAGAAGCTGATGTGACCCATTTCAAGAGTGAAAGGGGGGTAGGTCTTTTTGTTGAGCTAGCCTGCAGCAAAGCCAGTGTCTTGTCAGCTGCATGCGCTGAGAGCCGTGCTTGTTATGTTGGAGTTCAT